TATAATAACAGTTCGCAAATAAAATGGAAGAATTGTGTGAGAGAGAGAGAGAGAGAGAGAGAGAGAGAGAGAGAGATTAATACTTGCAAAATGTATTCATTTCTTTTTCATTGCCGGGAAACTTGTAATCGGTTGAACCCATAAATGTCATAGAACCTTTAAATTTCGCATCCAGGACACTTGTAATTTAAAATTTATTTAAAAACATTATATTATAGCGTTAATATTTTTATAACACTTTTACCTCATTCTGCATCCTTTTTCAAGTGAGCGAGTAACATTAATTAGTACACTAATTATAATGATACTATGCAATATAATGTGAAGTTTCATTTTGATATCAAATATTTAATAATTGCAAACTTATACAAATATAATGTTTATTTGAATCGTATATATAAATATCGATGAATATTTTATGAATTTTAATTATTATATATAAAAACCAAAACCTATTATATAAAACTAGTTTTATAAAATTTTATTATTTAAATGAAAATCCTTTTTTGTGAATATTTTAAAAAGGAAAAATTAACTCAAGGTTAACTAACCACAGGATTACATTACATTTTCATAACAGTACTTAAATTTTAATTTTAAAATTACTACTTAAAAATCAAATTAATTCAAATATACAGGGTAAATTATACTGTTTATAGTATAGTAATTCTAATACAGTATTTTAAATCATTATTTCTGGTATAAGTATAAAATGTTTTAACTTTTAAAATTTCTAATAAATTAAATGTTTATTTTCTTATTAAATTAGTTTAAAACAAATTTAATAATAATAGAATTCATCAGGATTTAAAAATAAATTAATAGTTGATTTGAAAAATGTTTTATTTTATTAAATTCCGATAGTAAGTTACAATGTGTAGAAATTATATAAAATAGGATGGCTAACAATATTATTAAAACAAACAAAATACTTATAAATTATAAAAAGTTGAATAGCTTAAGAAATATAAGCTAATAGTTTAAAAGTTGAACAATAAAACTTAATATTTCAAAGTGACTCAAACATCTCGATAACAGCCGGGAATAGTGTCGTGTATTTGAGTTTAAGTGAATCAATTTTAGGCAATTGTTTGAGTATTTGATCGCATTTATCCGAATCGTCGTATTCGCTGCAAAACACGTTCATAGGGTCTAACATCCCTTTCTCAATATACTGCTCAATATATTCCTGATTCTTTGCTGAACATACATCACCAGGCTTATTATTGAACACCGCTAGCACACAATTTTTCCATTGTATTTGCGAGCTATTAAATTTAAATAAATCAAAATGTTTATATTCAAATAAATAGAAGTATGCATTGATTCACATATTTAATCAATGTAAATTGGCCAGTATTAAATTAATTAAATGCAAAATACTATTCAATGATATACTAACCAACACATGAGTGGTATTTTTGTATTACTTTTGGTACTGTTATTATTGATGGCAGTAATCCTTTTGATGTTATTTTGCCAACA